CTGTTGTCATATCAAATAAAAGGCTGTCAGAATAGCAGGTGGAATTGGGGGGGAATGTATTTTTCTTTGATCAGAGTTAACTAGTGAATGACATACTGAAAATGAATACTTCTTTAAGAAACCATAGGCATAAAACTTTCCCACAGTGCCTCTCATTCTTCATAATATATATAACTTGCCAACAATACTCCCTCCCTCTACAACCCTTGCCTTGATTGACTGTCTTCAGACTCTGCATACAATTTGCATGTTTGGGTAGGAGTAGGGAAGTATGTTTGACAGATAATAATAATAATATAATTTCTGATTGAAGAAGAGAAAAAATAGTTTAAAGCTCCAATTATCCTGTAGATTCTGGTTGAATTTAGGAGTATCATGAATAATGTTTCAATCTAAACCCAGGGAATTAAGCTGACTTGAAAGAACAAAGACATGATGTGCTGCCTAATAGCCCCTTTTCAGATAGCTTCATTCATATTCCTTCTCTTTGGATCTGGAAGTAGATCATTAAGCCATGATGATCTACATCAGACAACAAGACTTACAGCCTGGTGTTTTTACCAGGAATTTTGAATCGTCTTTATTTATTCATGTGTGTATGATCTGTTTAGTGTGTTGCTGCTCTGTGCAAGGCATTCTGCTAAGTGTTGTTGATGTGATGTGGCATTATGAAGAGTAGGGGTTGCCTGTGTCTTTGTCTTCGTGGGTTAGAGAGCCTGAAGGGAAGGCAGCAGCAGAGAGTGATACGTCAAACTAAGACAAGGCACAATAACTAGGGCATGTTCAGGTTGACAGCCAAACACACCGAATATCCTCTACATTGCAACTTGTGTTCAATAGCAGGAAAGGATATCATGGAGGCCCCTTCTTTTGGCAACTCTGTTTAAGGAAAACTAGAAAATGCAAGGAGGCACCTTCCTGATTGGAGGTCCCTAAGTGTGTTGGTGAGAGTTCTCCTACGACTGAAGTTAAGGTCCAGAATATAAATGGGTCTCCTTGCTGGAAGGCTGTGAGCAAGATTTAAATGTGCCTCATTCTTAGTGCTATTGAAAGATACTAATGATAACTAGCATGTTACTAAATATTGCTCATATATAGGAATCACAAATAACTTATTTTGCAATGAGTCTTGCATTCCTCAACTGTATAGCTGCTAATATAAGCACGTAGAAGGCTAAGGAAAAAAAAAAGTTGCCATTTCTAGATTTAAATTAGCAGCAGCAGCCTGAAAGCTTTTTGTGTGATTAACTCTAATGAAAGAGAGAAAAAAAGATGAGGAGATGCATTATTCAAAAAATAGGATGCCCTGAGATTTTATTTTGTAAAGATTATACTATTACTCTATTTCATTTCTTTTTATAAACAAGAAACTACATTAAAAAGAATCTCAGCTCTCTCTAGACATCTCTCTTGGCCAAAGTGAAATATTTTCCTCACTTCATTCAAGAGAAGGGAGGGGACATTTAAAATTCAGTGTGATGTGACTTCCTATGCCTTTCCTCCTTGCATTATGTGATTTTGCTCATAACACTGCTGGGTTTTTTGCAATTTCACATTAATATGAATGTGGTTAAGTCACTTTTAGCTTAACTCTTTTAGCTTCTGTTTGCAAATTTAGGACAATATTGGTTACACAATAACCTAAAAGGTTCCTCAGCTTTTATCAGATGCTTTTATTTTTCCTAGTTTTCTTGGAAAAAAAAACTGACTACCACCTCATCTTGCTTCCTGATGCACAATTCATAACAGGTTTATGCAAATCTTAGGTCACCCATTATCCCAGGTACATTTCTAGAAGTGAGTGGATACAAATAAGATAAAGACATTTTAAAATTTGGGAGCAGATCAACTGATGTATCAATATTCTCAGATATGTTATATATATATAACATATATATAT